CTGCACACCAACAAAATTTTCCATTTTTCTTGAAGTTTGTGTCGCGTGCCTTCACTGTCGTGGTGCGGAGTAATGAGCAGCATAAATTTGTGTGTGCAGCCCTGTGGTTAATGAGGAAGAGGGGATAGTGCTCATCAGCTTCTGTCAGCAGAAGGCGGTGGCAGGGGCTGAGGACTGTAACCTCGAAGCTAGGGTGAAATCTAGTGTTCAGAGCAAAGGTAATGTGATTGACATAGAATAGCTTTATGCTTGAAAAACAATCTTTATCTGAGATATCTAGCAGTCATCTTATGTAGTTACTGAGTTGGAGCGGGGCCAGAGGAGGCCACAGCAATAATCTGAGGGCTGGAATCCCTCTCCTGTGAGGAAAGGCTGAGAGAGTTTGGGCTATTCAGCCTGGAGAAGAGAAGGCTGCGGGGAGACCTTATTGCAGCCTTTCAGTACCTAAAGGGGGCCTGTAGGGGAGATGGGGACAAACTTTGTAGCAAGGCCTGTTGTGACAGCACAAGGAGTAATGGTTTTAAAATAGGGGAGGGTAGATCCAGACTGCATATAAGGAAGAAATTTTTTACCATGAGGGTGGTGAAACACTGGCATGGGCTGCCCAGAGAAGTGGTCAATGCCCCATCCCTGGAAACATTCCAGGCCGGGTTGGACAGGGCTCTGAGCAACCTGATCGAGTTGAAGATGTCCCTGCTCACTGCGGGGGGTTTTGGCTAGATGACCTCTAAAGGTCCCTTCCACCCCAAACCATTCTATGATTCTGTGTTATTTGGGTGTTAGCTTTCTGCAGTGTGGGTTTCTCTCTGGTTAGAGCACTTACCCAGAAAGTGAGGGATCTGGACCACATCCTCTGTAACCTGTGGAAGTGCTGCTTGTGAGGTGACAGGCAGGTTTGAGGTGCTCCACACCACTGCTAATGCAGTTTTTTACTGCTCAGCAGCATTTGTGAATCCCAGTGTAAGTCGATGATAAAGGCATTCAGGTTTGCTTTGGTGTCGGTTGTAAGCTATCAGTGACCATGGGATGTTATTGAAAATGCGACTTGTCTCAGTGGTAAAAGGACTCAGTTTTCAAGAGTTTGTTACTGGACTCCACTACTCCTGAAAGGCTGGGATTCTGCTTAAAAGTTGGCATAATAGTGTTGGTTTAGAGAAAAGGTGCCTTTTGTTCCACAAGGATCCTGGATGCGTGTTTGGCAGTTATGGTGTAGTTGCAGATACCTGGTGAGTTGCATCTTACCAGGTACCTGGTGTTGTTATATTGACAATATCTGACTAACCCAGAGAAGACTTCAGTCTTGTGAAGTATTACGACTCTCACTAGGCAAGTGCGCTTGGGAGATGAGAATTTGGCAAGATCTGAAATGTCTAAGGGTAAAGGAGAAGAAACTGGAAAACATAAAAATTCCTAAATGCAGTTATGCTTATTTGGGGAGGGTTGGCTCTTTTAGGGGTGCAACGTGAAGGGAATGACTCCAGGTGTGGGCAGTTCACTTACAGGCTTATGTGTTGTGTTTCCTTGCTGTCCTCTTGATTTCCTAACGTTCAGAGTTGCTGGGCAACCAAAGGCCAGTATACCTCTACTGGCTTCTGACAGTACAAAACTGGGACAAAGAATGAGTGTTTGTTGGAAATTGGTGTATTAATGTTTATAGTTGACCTTATTCCATATTGTTAGTGGGGTTCCTGATGGAGCTTGGTGTTGCACTTAATATCCTCTGGTGACAGGCTGTTGCCTCTGCCTCCCTTAGTTCCAATCTGGAAATCACGTGGCTTTGGGATGAGTTGTTTTCCCCCCAGTGCTCTGATGGGAGCGAACAGGCTACTGTGCCAGGGAAAAAAAAAAAGTTGATTTTTAACAATCTGAACTTGCTCATATGGAAGCACAGGATTGGCGGTTATGATGCAAGTGAAGTTGAAGTGTACAGTGATGGGTGATACAGAGACAGAAAAGTCCTTTTGAGTAGTGTCCTGCAGTCAGACTGCATATGAAATTGTAGTTTCTGTTAGTTGTCCAAAGCTGATCTAAAACTGCTCAGCGACTGGGTCGGTTGTTTTGTGCAGTCCTTTTTTTCAGTTCTCCCCATCCTTACCTTAGCTCTGGCTGGTGACGGTTGGAGGGCCAGTTAGGTTAGTTAGCTGTTCAGACAGCAAGCTAATTTTATTTTTGGTGTTTTTTTTTTCTTTTTTTTTTTTTTTAACTTAGCTTTTAAATGAAGCAAGTGTCTGTAGGAAAGAGCAGGAGGGGGTGGTGGGACTTCCTCTTCAAGTGGCAGTGCTGACTTATTGCAGAACTTTGCTGTGCCTGCTGCTGGTGAGGGTGCCCAGAAGTCTCAGAACGGTTAGATTCTTGGTATGGCTAAGCATAATGTTCTTACACAAACAACCTCTTCCTTCACTACTTGAGAAGTACTCATTTCATCTACATCAAAGATGTTTTCTAGGGAAAGTGACCACTTTATCTTAGATGTTATCTTTAGAGCAGCTACCAATATTCTGAAGAAACTTCACTAGAGCACAGTTCAAGTCTCTCCCTCTTGGCTTAGTCCTCATGTGACTCGTGTTCTGTTTCTAGGGAACAATGCCATTATGTTAGTAATAGGTTTAACACCACATCCTAGGAGATCTTCTCTTCTTATGGAGGAGAAGGAAAAGTGAAAAGGCCAAGTGCTGCAAAATGAGTTGAATTTATACAGCAGTTAATGATATCTTTACTACATTCTGTATAATTTGAATATTTTCAGGATGATGCTGTTAGTATTGAAAGCGGTACTAACACCGAACGCCCTGACACACCAACAAACACTCCTAATGCACCGGGAAGAAAAAGCTGGGGGAAAGGAAAATGGAAGTCAAAGAAGTGCAAATATTCCTTCAAATGTGTAAATAGCCTAAAGGTAGGTATGTGTCAGCTTTGGCATGGGAATGCTGGTACTGCTTGCTGGCAGTAATGTTGATGTTGACTGTGAGACAGTGACAAGACAGAAGTTTTTAAATGTCTGTATATAATTATATTCCATGCTTGTTTGAAGAAGGTACCTTTCATATTTGGAATAGCTGAAGTTTTGAAGAAAAAGGATACTGAGAAACAGGAAACGGTAGTGCTGCAATTAACCCAATTCTTGTACAGGTTTTCAAAGTTGTGTGATATGTTGTAATTATATATTTCATTGAAGTTGTAACTGCTTGAGATAAAGATAAGAAACTGGATAAACGAATTCAAATGAAACAAAACCTGTGACGACTTGATGCAAGGTGCAGAACCTGTACAGATTTTTCTACCTGTTGAAATGTATTACAAAACAAACAAACAAACAAACAACACCGAAACAACCCAACAATCTTGGAGTAGCTTTTTCTTTACACTCACGAGATCAGGCATTTTCTGTCCTCTGGCAATTGTCATAAATGCTAAATAGTGCAATTTGGTTAATTTATCGTGAGTGGTGTGAGTATGTGTTTGCACCTGATCTTCGTCATATTTATCTTCCCACGTAATACCTGATGGTATTAAGGAATGTGGATTCATGGTCTTTACTCCCTGTTCTTGTGTATTAGGGTATTATTGTTTTCTTCTCCACTGATGGTAGACTACGCTGGACTGAATGAATTTTCTCTTTGGTTCTTTTACACTGTCAGGATGTTGTTTTTTCATTCCCCAGCACTGTTTGGGATATTTATGTGGCAAAAGCTGTAAATATGCCATCTGATTTGATTTTTAGGAGATTTCCAAATAAAGAAAAGATTGCATCTGGAACAAAATGGGAGTTTTGTTAAGCTTTATATTTAGCTAACAAAAGGATGTGTGCGGCTCCATAGTGGATATTTTCTGCAGAATTGCTTTAAGAGTGTTTTTGTCATTCCCCCACACTAAACTGTTGAGCTGTGCTGATGTAGCTGTTTCTGAACTTTGGCTTCAGACTGCCTCACTGAAATGCTGGGGTAGCTGAGTGGGAGGGGATGAGAGGTTTGGAGCATGAAAACCTCCTTTGCTCAGGGCAGTGGTGGAGTCACCATCCCTGGAGGTGTTCAAAAAACGTGTAGACGTGGCACTTCAGGGCATGGTTGAGCAGGCATGGTGGTGTTGGGTTGACAGTTGGACTTGATGATTTCAGAGGTCTTTTCCAACCTTAATGCTTCCATGAGTCTATAAATGATCTTTGCCACGGGAGAAATTGTGATATGAAGGACTAGATGACCCACAGAGGTCCCTTCCAACCCCTACTATTCTGTGATTCTGTGATTCTGTGAAGTTATACTACAAAGGTATCTGGGAAACAAGTTGATCTTAATGTGTTTTTTGAAGTATAAAAATGATCTCAAGTCCTTTCAGGGTGTAGGAGGAAGGGAAGCTCTTTCATTTTCGCCTAGGCAGGCAGCTGTTCCTGTGATTCGCATGAATTGCCCCCGCAGGTAGTGCTTTTCGTGGCTTCAAGTCATGGTTCAAGCACAGGTGTGGGCCTTTCAGCACCCAAACCCTTAACAAGTTCTGAGTTTTGCTAAGTATATTTGTTTTCTGTCTGCAGACCAAATATTCCAAAGGGGTTAGTACTTTTCAGGTGTCTTCTGGGAAAACAGAACATTCTCTCACCCCAGCTTCAACTCAGGCCCCACTATAGGGTGACCCTATGAAGTTAAGCAGTCCGTGACTTCTGTGGATTTGGATCAGGGCCTGGGAACAGATTCCTGCGCAAGTGGAATCAAGCTGTGAGGGAGTAAATGTAGCATTTCAGCTAAGTGGGTTATTTTTATTATCTTTGCTTTTTTCCCATTTCTCTTTGAACTGAAATTAATGCTAATGATAATAAACATGCATGTTAATATAAAGACTAGGTAGCAGCCAAGTTTGGTAACTCCTTTTTACTTCATGTTTGAGGAGGCCTCTCTTCTTTTCTTTTTCCTGGTCCTCCATACTAATTTTGCAGATACTGTGGAGATAAACTCCAAGAACTGAATGTTGTAGATGGGTTCAGAAAGACGCTTGTGACTCTCTGGATATTCCATCGTATATCCCATAGTTTATATATAGTCTTTGAACTATGCTGTAAGGTGCATGTACTGAAATTAATGAAAAGTCAACATGATTTAAAGACATGGAAATTAATTTTAATGTTCTTTAGGGATGTGTAAGTTATGTGTTTTTCCACTTTCCTACTCTTGTTTTTCTCTCTACTTTTTTTTCTTCTGTGGGGAAACAAAGAAATACGGCCATTATTGTCTGCTTTGAATGTTAAATGGCTATGATTCAGCCTGAAAAATTCAGTGCTTGCTAAATATGCCTTTTAAACACTACTGTGGAAGTTATTTTGGGTGAAATTTAAGCATCAGGAAAACAAAAATATAACTTGGAAAATGACAGGAAATAAAAAACTGCCCTTTTTTTCTTTTTGCCATACTAAGTTACTGTAAGGTATACTGTGGGCTGAATGGAAATGTAGTTTATAAATGAACGTATACAGCTAACAGGCACATCCTCACATAGATCCATGTGGGCTTTGCTTGTAGATCTTTCAGCAAAGAACCGTGTGCATTCTGCTTTGATGTGCTCCCTTTAAAACAATGCTACTGTTTGCCCTACCCTTTGCTCTTGCTTAGGGTGTGCCTCAGTGGTTGTTAGCAGTCCAGTGTTGTCGCTCAGCTACTCGCTGTTTCCTGAGCTGGGAATCAGTAACCAACCACAGGCAAGGTTCTAGCTTGTTGATGCGTAAAGGAGAGGCAACTAAAACCACTGCCAACAATGGCATGCTTCCACTTCAGGGAACTGGAAATGCGTGTGTGGGTGACAGCATATTAAAATATGTTCATGTAGTTGCAGGTGATTATTTTTTATGTTGACATAGTATTTACTTCACTGCCTTCAGTCTAAAAACAGGTCTAGTCTTATTGTCTGACTGAACCTGAGTTGGTGTTGAGTGAGGGCAGAACTAACTATTGATTATTTATTTACTTGCTTTTGTATCAATTGTAGGTCTGTTTTTTCCTCTGCTTTCTTTCCCTGGTGTGTAAATAACCTGAGTACTTTGGGTTTTGTGCCCTTTATTCATACCAGGGTCATGATGGCATATCACAATTCTACTTTTGGATCAGCATCTGGGTCACTCTTCTGTCTGTACAAACCAGTGGTCAGATCTGCATGACATACTTGGCATCTCATGATAACCGTAATGTGAAGCACCTAAAAGTGCAACATTTTTAAAAACCAGCTTCATTGTTCAGCACTTGGGACAAAAATTAGAGCGGACAAGTATTATCAAAATAGCTACGTGCTATCTCTGACCAGTGAGGCTGATGGTAGTTTAAATGAGGTGAGCATAACTTCTTTAGATAGCCTGGTGACTTCCTGCAAGAGCCTCTGCCTCGCTCCTTCATCCGTTAACCACCAGAAAAACTGCAATGTGTACAGTCAGGCTCTTGGAGGTTGTAGCACTCTATGTAAGGAGTGTGGTGTGAATGATGTAAGTAGTGTAAAGACATCTGTCTTGCAGAGTAATTTTTCCAGGGAAATAGGTTGTCTTTGAAAAAGCTTAATAAATACTTTAGATATGTACTCAAATATAGAAATACAGAAACAGTATAGCCCTCTGTTGTATCTCTCTACTTATTATGTATCACCCTAGTTTGATCCTACCTAGAAAATCACAAATTTATCGCAGCTTATCCTGTCTTGAGGGGGGAAAAACATCTTCCTCTTCACTTTTCCCATTTCACTAAATTTACCAGAAACAATGCATGTGACTGAGAACAAGCTTATTCCAGAAAAACAAGCACAGGACCTGCTAATATATCTCTGTAATAAAGCAATAAGCATCCATGCATTTTGCCTGTGTTATCTTCATGCAGTGTGTCAAAAGTCCTCAGTATTTAGCAGTGTGAACTCTTTCACACAGAAATTCAAAACCAATTCATTATTAGTGGAAAGTTTTTGCCTAGTATTTTGTATTTGATCTCTCAGACATTCTTTTCAAGGAAGACTTAATACACTCAAAAATAAACCTAGAAAGTAACATTCATAACTTTATTGGACAGTAAAAATCATGGCCTTATGTATGCAATTTTATGGCGTACAGTTTTCCTCACTAACAGAGAAGGACTGGTGGGAGATGTGGTGGTCGGAGGCTGGCTTGGGCTTAGTGACCATGAAATGATAGAGTTCGAGGTGAAGTGAAGAAGGGCGCCAGCAAAACCACCACCATGCAATTTTGAAGGGCAGACTTTGGCCTGTTCAGGACTCTTATTGAGAGAGTCCCCTGGGAGAGAGTCCTGAAGGGCAAAGGGGTCCAGGCAGGCTGGACATCCTTCAAGGAGGAAGTATTAAAGGCACAGGAGCAGGCTGTCCCCATGTGCCGCAAGACAAACTGGTGGGGAAGATGACCGGCCTGGCTGAACAGGGAGCTCTTGCTGGGACTCAGGGGGAAAAAAGGAGGGCTTACCACTTATGGAAGAAAGGGCAGGTGTCTCAGGAGGAGTACAGGGGTCTCGTTAGGTCATGCAGAGAGGAAATTAGAAAGGCAAAAGCCCAGCTAGAACTCAGGCTGGCCACTGTTCTAAGGGACAACAAAAATTTTTTTTACAGATACATCAACAACAATAAGAGGGCCAAGGAGAGTCTCCATCCCTTACGGGATGCAGAGGGGAAATATTGCAACAAAGATGAGGAAAAGGCTGAGGTACTTAGTGCCTCCTTTGCCTCAGTCTTTAACAGACTGGTTATTCCCAGGGTAGCCAGCCCCCAGTCCTGGAAGATAGGGAAGGAGAGCAGAACAAACCTCCCATAATCCAGGAGGAAGCAGTTAACGACCTGCTATGCCACCTGGACACTTGCAAGTCTATGGGGCCAGATGGGATCCACCCAAGAGTGCTGAGGGAACTGGCAGAGGAGCTGGCCAAGCCACTCTCCATCA